CTCTTCTGTTTTTTCTCTTTTCTCTTTTTCTAAGCCCATAACTGTTTCTGAAAGTTCAAGGTTATGATTTGTATTTGTAAGATGTTTTTTGCAAGCTGACCTCCTCAAATGAAAGATACAGAGATTCCACCATGCTAATTTTATTAATTAAAAGTGCAGGTAAATTTTGAAGAACATTTTTAATTGCTGGTCTTGGGAGGGTTCAGACGAAAATTTCATGATGCAGTATTATGACAGCTGTACATAATAGTAAGCCTTCCACCTCCTTGATGACTTGTCTTGTTCAAGAAAATGTCACAAATATTTGAAGAAAAACCTGCAAGTATATACAAAGGTATATGGAGCTTTTTTATTTCAAGCTGTGTTTGAACCATGTAACTCATGGAAGGCAAACACAGGGAAAGATAGGAGGAAGTTACTAGTGCTATACTGTGAGAGAAATAATGAATTATTTTTGTCAAAAACAACTTAAGAGAGAACCCTTAAGAACTAGAAAGAGCAGAGGGCTTTGTAAGGGTGGGGAGGGAGAATGGAAAATGTGGTTTATAGCTGAATGCAAGATATAAATATTTTTTTAAATTAATCATTGAATTTTGTGCTCCCAAGTATTGTTGTAATGAAACTGGAACTCTGTTACTTAATCTGAAAACAGATTTCCATAATTTTTCCCTCTCCATTATTTATGCAGAGAAGAGATTTATCCTGTTCAGCCTTGGTTTTGATCAAATTATTTACAAATATACAATTTACATTCACCTATTCACTTTCAACTTTTACCACAGCTTTAAATGTTTAAGTTTTTAACCATGGTAAAATTAAGTTTTTCTTGTTTACCACCTACATATGATTTCTATTTTAATACAAAACCTTGCACTACTGAATGCAGCAAAATGTTTAGAAATATCACACCAAATCCCTGTGATTCCTGTGATTTTACCTTCAGTTATCTGGTAGTTGCAGCTATGCTTGATTTCCAGTGCAGGAAGTACTGTACTGCAGGCTACCTAATAAGGAAATCTTCTTGCTCAGGCTACAGGAGGCAATGCACTTGCTGGTTCTTGTCCTGCTGGGGCACTTCAACCACCCTGACATCCACTGGGAAAGTGGCACAGCAAGCTGTAAGCAATCCAGGAGACTCCTGGAATGCATGGAGAAAAACTTCTTGAGCCAGGTAATAGCCCTAGTAGAGAGGATGTGATACTGGAGCTGATGTCACCAAGGGAAGGGAGTGAACCAGGGACATGAAGACTGGAGGCAGCCTGGGCTGCAGTGACCATGCTCTGCTGGAGTTTGCTGCCCTGAGGGATATGGGCCAGGTAGGCAGCAAAGTTAGGATCCTGAATTTTAGGAAAGCAGACCTTCAGCTCTTCAGGGAGATGGTCAGTGGGCTCTCCTGGGAGACTGCCCAGAGGAACAACGGAGTGGAACTGAGCTGGCAGATCTCTGAGGAAATTTTCCATAGAACAGAAGAGCTGGCAATCCCCAGGAACAAGGAATTGGGGAAGGAAGGCAAGAGACCAGCATGTCTGAGTAGGGAACTGCTGATCAGACAAAACCAGAAAGAAACAAATGCAGCAATATTTGAAGTTATGACTGGTGACCTGCCAATGATATAGAGATGAAGTTTGGTTGTGGAGGGGGTGAGAAAGAGTCGGAGATGTACCTGGAATTGAAACCAGCAAGAAGCCCAAAGAAGAATGTCTTCTATAGGTGTTAATCAGAAAAGTCAAAGTGCATCCCTTACAAACAATGCTGGAAAACTGATAACAATAAATGCGAAGATATCTGAGGAACTCAACTTTTATGACTTCAACAGCAGCCTCTCTTCTCACACCTCTTAGATGAATGGAAGCAGGATGTGGACTGGTGGAAACAATGTCTCTTCCACTGTAACCAGAGATCAGGTTCTTGACCGTCTGAGGAACCTGAATGTGCATTAGACTACAGGGCCTGGTGAAAAGCATTGGGAACCAATGAACCTTAATCTGAGAACTAGAGTTCTGAGGGAATTGGCTGATACAGTTGCCAAGGCATTCTCCTTGGCATTTAAAAAGTCAGGTAAAGTCCCAGGGGGCTGGAAAAAGGGAACATTGTATTCATCTTTAGAAAGGAAGATTCTGGGAAGTACCATCCTCTCAGTCTCATCTCTGTACCTAGGAAGATCATGGAATGATCCTCCTAGAAGCCATGCTAAGCTATGTGGAGGACAAGGAGCTGGTTTGCAGCAACAACCACAGATCCACCAAAGACGAAGCCAGCTGTGGCCTTCTATGATGGAGTGACTCCGTCAGTGAACGAGGGAAGGCTACAGCTGTCATCTCTGTGGGCTTCTGCAAAGGCCTTGACACAATCTCCCACATCTTTCTCCCCGAATTGGAGAGAGGTGGATTCACTGGGTAGACTCGTTAAGATGGTCACATCCAGAGTGTAGTGGTCAAAGGCTCAGAACGCCAATGGACATCAGTGACAAGTGGGGCTCATCTGGGATTTTTATTAGGATCTGTGTTATTTAATATCTTCATTAATGACGTAGACAAAAAGATCAAGTACATGCTTAGAAAATTTTTAGATGACACTAAGATGAGTGGTGCTGTTGTCACACCTGAAGGATGGGATGCCATCCAGAGGCACCTGGACCAGCTCAAGAACTGGGCCCATGGGAATCTCATTCAATTTAACAAGACCAAGAGCAAGGTGCTGCACCTGGGTTGAGGCAACCCCGGGTACCAGCACAGGCTGGGGATGAGCAGATGGAGAGCAGCTTGGGGAGAAGGATTTGGGGGTGCTGGGGAATGAAAAGCTGGAGATGACCCAGCCATGGGCACTCCCAGCCCAGAAAGCCAAACGTGTCCTGGGCTGCATCCAAAGCCGTGTGGGCAGCAGGGGAGGGAGGGGATTCTGCCCCTCTGCTCTGCTCCTGTGAGACCCCAGCTGGAACCCTGCACCCAGCTCTGGGGTCCCTGCACAGGAAGGACATGGAGCTGTTGGAGGGAGCACCACCAAGGTTATCAGAGGGTTGAAGCATCTCTCCCACGAAGAAAGCCTGAGACAGTTGGGGTTGTTAAGCCAGGAGAAAAGAAGGCTCTGGGGAGACCTTTCTATAGTTCTTCAATAATTAAATAGTAATAAGAAGAACAGAGACAGACTCTTTAGTAGGACCTATAGCAATAGGACATAGAATACTGATTTTAAATGAAAAAGGATTAGGCTAGATACAAGACATTTTTTACGATAAGGGTGGTGAGGCACTGGAACAGGTTGTTCTGGAAACATTCAAGTAGGGTTGAATGAGGCTCTGTGGCATCTGATCTAATTGTAGATGTTCCTTGTTTATTGCAGGGGCCTTGAACAAGATGATCTTTAAAGCACACTTCCAACCCAAACTATTCTATGACCTCTGATTATCATAACGGTGATAGAAAATACAGGTAGAAATGTCACATCAAATCTTAAAAGACAGTAAATATAAAGAAGTAATTAAAAGACATTTTAATTAATTGAAGATATATTCTGAAGTACACTGAATTCAGAATAAACCTACTTCAGACTGTGTTTTGCTTAAATGCAAAATAACATGATAAGTAATGTGCTCAGATGTTACCTTTGAAAGTGTTAAGCAGCTCTTCTATCTGTATGTTGTTTCATATTTTTTTTTGATTCAGACTACCACACAGAACTAATTCTTATGACCCACTCATGAGTCACCTTTGACTGTCACTTTGTCATTGTATTGCTAAACAGGACTTTGTCTCCTAATTAAAATTCGAGACAAAATGTTTCGTTTTCTTGTGTAGACTATATAATTTTATTCCATTGATTAAATTTTAAATTCAAAAATGGTTTTTAACTATCAATATTTGAACAACATTTCGGAACTGTTATACAGAAATTGGTTCAGTTTCATGAAGTTATGTTTTCTGATCAAAATTTGTTTCAAAATAATTATTTATTGGTACAACTACATAGTGCACTTCAGACCTGGCCTCATTCTCTTCTGGTTTAGAATTTATTTTGATTTTGCAAATTCTTTGTAGGTTCTTTGTAGTATATTCTTTGTGTGGAAACTATGCAGTCAAATGAATCCCATAAAATCACAGAATCACTAGGTTGGAAGAAACCCTCAAGATCATCCAGTCCAACCCATGCCCTAACACCTCAACTAAACCATGGCACATCCAGTGCCACATTCAGTCTTTTTTTAAATATGTGATTTGAATAAAGGCTGGAGATTAGGGATGGTCTTCCTTCATAACAGAAATAAGCCAACATAAAGGGAAAGAAACCACTGCAATTTATAAGAGTATTCTGATTACAGCAGGTTTTAAGTGTTTTGTTCTAAATTTTAATGAAATTAGTTTACATATCCCTTTCATTTGTTAGGGTAATACTAATCTTACTAACACTATGAGCAGTATCTACTATGAACACATTAGCTTCAAAAGCTGTACTTATCAACATTTACCAGAACCAAGATTTTACCACAATGTTTTCATACTTCATAATATTTTTGTTTTTCTGTAATCAAGCCTGTGATGGAATCACTTTTCATTTTTATTAAAAAGCAACTTTACATATTGTAGGAAAAAAACAGGTTTTAAAATTATTTTTCATCTATATCAAAAGGTATCTTTAACTCATATTTTGATTCCTTTGTATACATTAAAGACCATCTATTCAGCTAAATTGTTATTCAGTTTATTCAAGCACATGATAAATATTAAAGACTGAAGCTGATTCTCCATTTGAAATAGCCAATCACATATCTATTATCTTCAAATCTTAAATCATCTTCTACTTTTAAATAATCTAAGTTTTTCAATCTACTGAAAATAAACATGTCAGTCAAATTAGTAAATAAGTACAGTAAACATCCACTGTTTTCACTGCGCATTTTTGAGTGAATAACTTTGTCATCTCCGCATTCTTTTATCTGCATCAGCTCTGAATTTAGATTGCTAATTCTCTAGAGCAGATTTCAAATATTTTTAACCAAACAATATTAATTATATTTAATCAAACTATAAAATATCAGAAGAATGGTCTAATGCAATGCACAGAAAAGTGCATCCCTCTGGTAAAAAAAACAGTTTTATCTTTCTTAAGAACTAAATCTCTTAATCTTGATTTTGAACCCAAGATGCTGAGGTTAAAATACAGCTCTAATGTAATTAAATGCTACAAAGTAGATCATGTTTGTTGATTTTACAGGTCTTTGTCTTAATTTTACATGATTTGTCAAGCCACTGAGTTTAAATTTTATATAGGTATGCAGAGATCCTGAGAACAAACAAAATTTCATTTTAAACCATCACCAGGTTGCCCATATGGATATAAAATATTTGCTATAAAATATGAACATGTAATTCATAATGGTTGTGATGACACTGATTGTTAAACTCATATATTTTGCATGGGTTGTTGAGAAAGTAAATTTATGTACATTTGCACAGCAGAAAGAAGAGTGAAGGCTGTATGAAATGTTCTTGAATTGCATCTATAACCTGGGCCACTGTGGCAATGTGGGGTACCAGTGAGCAGCTTTTTCCTATGTTCTGTTTGCAGTGCAGTAATGAGGAAATAAAATTGTAGAGAATTAGGACTACAAAAACTTTATAAGAAAAAAGTAAAACACTATCAGCCCTACTTACATTAGGGAAGAAAATTATTAGAAGTAAAATAGCTAATATGTTGAAAGATCTTCTAAGGCTATATTACGTAATTACAAAATTAATAGATAATTCTCTATTATTAATACAAATATATGAACTTTTAGATTAAATCAGGTATGGGTTGCTGAGAGGTTTTTTACTCTGAAAAAAAGAACCCATGACCTGAAGGGAAAACTAGAAAATTATCTTCTAATAAGGAAATTTGGAGGCATACAGTAACAAATTGGATTTCGGAAATGTGATTTTTGGTTGGTTGATTTTATTAAATGAAATATAATATGTGTTGAATACATTTATTTAGATAGTACAAATACTATTCTTTATTTCATATACTGAAGAGATTTTCAGAATTATAATTTTATTAAATGTTGATTGCTAACATATGATCCAGGTATCTTCCAGCCACCAAACCATCAGTTTACTATCCAAAATTTATCATGCCAGAGCAGTAACCTGTTGATCCGATCTTTACAGACAATGTTGTCTCTTGTATTTTATCACTTACAGC